TAAGATGATTTCGGTGTTCCAGTGCATGAGTCACAAAAAGTTAGAATGTACTTATAGCAACTAATTAATAAGTCTAATGAAATACTTTTCTTTATTATGAGAAAAATTGAACATAAAATAAAGAGTGCTTTATTTAAGCAGGGGTATTGGTGAATCCATATCTTGGATTCTATGTAGAGTTTTGGTCTCCTTATTTAGGGAAGGATGTAAATGTGTTGAGGGCGACTCAGAGGTTTATTAGATTGATAAGTCAGTGGTTTTGTTTGTGAGGACAGATTAGACAGGCTGGGCTTAGTTTCACTGAGGGCAGAAACGTGAGGGATGATTTGAATGACGTTTATACTATTCTGAATCGTTCTGACAAGGTGGAAATGGAAAATGTGTTTCCTTTTGTGGGTCAATCTAAATCTAGGGGGCACTGTTTTAAAATTAGGTGGGGGTACTTTTAAGATAGAGATGAGAAGAACCTTTTTTCTCTGAGAGGGTTGTGCAACTCGGGAACTCTCCATGTCAAAAAGTGCTAGCAGCAGGGTCATTGAATATTTTTCAGACATCTTATGCCTTACTGAGGTGGCATGTTGGAAATCAAGTTTCTCCCTACACCCAGAGATGTTACAAAAGTTAAAAATTTTATCAAATTATGTAAAGTACGTAATTTATCTTCTGATAGACTCACGTTAACAGAAAACACAAACCAGTTTTTTGTACGTAACAGGAGCTATTGTTTATTATAAATAAATACATTCTAACCACAGTTGAACTGTCAATGTATAATTCTACTAGTTAATACTCTAACCCTCTTTGAAACTCCCCTACAGATAGACAATAAGAAATTGGTGTTATGGGTGGAGGGGAAAAAATACTAGGGAAACCATTCAATTGCATCAGTCCTCAGTATTCTATAGCATGTTCCTCTGATTCCCAAGTCCATCAGTTCTCTCCTGTTTTCCTTCAGGGTCTTTTACTTTCACGCAGAAGGCACAGCTTTCTGGTATACAACCAATAAGTCAGAGATTTTATAATTTAAAAGCAATACCCTCTAGCAACTGATGGAAGAATACAACTGGCTTTCTTTAGCTTCAGGTATTTTACTGGAGGGAGAGAGAGAGAGACAGACAGACACACATTCCAGAGATCCAAGGGCTTCTCGTCTTATTGGTTACACCCACATGCTGCTCAGCTACCCCAGGAACCAATCAGCAGCCTATTGGCAGCCAAATCTCAGTTTGTACACACACCCCTGGTGCCATGCTGTCTAATCCTACATCTCTCCCACTGCTCGTAAACTAACAGTGTAAACACAACTCACAACAAGTTTCAGTAACTTAATTTTCAAAAGTACAGTAATTCCTCCTCAGTCCTCTGTTGTGAGGCAGTCCACTTCCCAGTTTATTCCATAATCAATAGCATAAAATATCAAAAAAATGAAATAAGAAGTTACAGTCTTTGCACTCAGACGTGGATAGATTCTTGTTAGGCAAGGGCATTAGAAGTTGTCAGGGATAGGTGAGAATGTGGAATTCAAAACACAAATTGATCAGCCATGAATCTAATAGAGTCGTAGAATAGTTCATAGAGCCATAGAGTAATACAGCATGGAAACAGGCCCTTTGGCCCAAACTGGTCCATGCTGACCATGGCGTCCCACTCAGCTCGTTCCAATTGCCCACATTTGGTCCTATCCCTCGACACCCTTCTCATCCATGTACCTATCCTAATGAATAGTGCAACAATCTCAAAAGGCTAAATGGTCTACCTTGGCTCCTAATTCAATTGTTCAGTTTTTTTTAATTGCCTCGATATAGGGCCTGAGTGTAAATCTAGGTGAAATTTGATGTTTTGCATTTAATTCTCCAGAATCCTCCGTGAAACTTTGGAATACAAAATATCAAATTCTTCCCATCCCTCCAGCCCCTCTCCGACTTCACTGAATTTTCAATGATTTTGTAGTTCTGTGGAACAGTACACTACATGAAATGCTGATGTCTAAAAATAATAGAAGACAATATATTGTTGAACAGCAATGGCCGATATGTAGAGTTTACATGGTTTTCCACAAGAGTGGAATTTCCTGAGTATCCATCTACCTTGGCCAGTGGTTCTATAGTAACAGCCCAGAAATAGTGTAAGCACTTTCACATCATTATGAGTTTCCAGCAAACTTCTGCTAAATTTACAGAGGATTGACAGGATAAATCCCATGGAAATTAATGTCATAAATTTAAAAACAAATAAATTGTAAAGGTAATTAGTAAGTGCTACTGTGAAGTCCACTGCATATTAAACTCCTAATTTCTACATCTTTCCAATTATCTATTTTCAATTGTAAAAGTTACCTGTCACCCTTTCTAAAATTGTCATTTCTTATGTCCACTGGCTTTGATAAATTTATTATGCTATTAATGCATCTTTCCATTAGTTGAGAATCTGTGCTGGTGGGAGTGCTTCCATGATAAATGTGGACAAGGTGATTTATAATGGAAATATGTAAATAAAACTAGAACATAAGAATTTACAAAGGAGAATTTTATCTCTCTGTCCTCATGCAATTATCTTCTGGTCTCATATGAAAAAAAATTTAACTTGTTCATAATTTCCCACGTACAACATTGTAGGAGGTTGAGAGTAATACATTAAAATCATGAGTCGTTTCTGGTTCATCACATCCTGGCATTGAATCATGCTCTAGCAATGTTTACAGTGGCAGTATTGTGGCGAGATGCCCAGTTCTGGTTGACATTTTTCTCTGCCATTTGCCTAAGTTTAATGAAAACATACGGTGAAAGCGAACTATTGCTTCAATTTTCATGTGTTGTCTACTCGAGGTAATGTTTTAGTTCCTGTTATTCTATTTGTCTGTAAATATCTCAAAAATGAATGCACAGATTTCAATGAAATTTTACACTAGATGGGGTATGGCCCAAGGAGGAACTAATTAACCTTTGACAAAAATGCCAACCGATTTATCTACACAGGGGAAGAGGGCAAATTGACATTTTTTGGAAAAAAAAAATTGTGGGTTGTTGTATTTTCAATGTTGTTGATTGTTTTAGAACATTATGAATTGTCTGAGCTGCTGTGGTAGAATTTGTCAGAGTTGGCAAAACATGTGCAGGATTTTCAGAGCAAGTTGTTGGATATGGATTGGCAATGCAATGGACAATCTTAGGAAAATAATTTCCTCTTTCAGCTTTGTATGTGTACAGATCATCAACCAGTCAGGTAAAAATTCAGGAAAGAGTTTTATGATTGTAATAATCTTGAGTTCCACGGCTTGGCAGAGTTATGTGCTCTACTAAATTCCTCTTCACTTGTTTACTATGCTTTCTGCCTGCAAATTCTTTGCTTATTGGTAAATTGTGTCCTGACTAAAAGCAGTTACCATTGATTGTTTTGCCATCTCACTGAGCTTCTTTCCTGGTGAAATTGAACACAATTGACCATCACAACAATGTTGTATTTTCTTGGCCATATCTTGAAACCTACACTTGTTTTCCTTAGCTGCATTGTGTACCCTTTCAGAAACATTCCTCTCCCTCCTCCCAAACCCCAGCACTCCAATTTATTTTTCATTGGCTTATTTCTCATTCATTCCTGCACGCAACCTTTCTGCCGTTTCTGATTTTTCAGATCCTCTTGGGTCTTCTCCGAATACTCCTGTCAGGTGGGGCATTTACAGGTCTCCTCTTCTTTAATGTGTTTGCTATAACTCAAAAATACAATTGCTGATACAGTAGCATAGTTCAGGAGCATCATTAGTTCGACAAATCTCAGTATCTCCAAGGTTATGTACAGTCTTCCAGTATGTAATGTTCATCAATAACAGCCCATGAGTTTGCCATGTCTTGGCATGGAGATATCTGCTGAAGCCCTTATTTTGCTAAGAAAAGATCAATAAACACTATTTGATAGCTTATATTAACCAGATACTGTGCAACAACGTGTCACAAAATTAATCTCCTGGGAGAAATAAAAACAATTTTACCCAATTTCACACAAACTCTGGGAAATGTTTCCTTGTCCACTAAAGCACTAAAGCCAGTAACCAGAAACAGCCAAATGTGGTAAATTGCATTTTTGATTAGTAAATGTAGAATGGACCGGAGAGTTGACAACATGGTGATCTCAAATAATTGGAATAACCATCCAGTGTCATAAGAAGAAATCAATCCTAGCCAATAACAAGTAGCTCCAACTGGGCCTGTAATAGCAAGAAACGAAGCAGCGTCCAAACTAGGTTTGAAAAATTGGTTGTCGGGCGTGTGGGGGGTTGGCGCGATTCTGCTATCCCTTACAGTACGTCTGTTTTCTTAACGACCATTCCGTGCAACTGTTAGGCAAAAACCAAACATCAAATGCAAGCATACATGTAGTTCCCAAACAGAGTTAACTGCATCAGGAACCAAGGATTTACCCCTTCTCTAACTGTAACTGACACAAATAATTCAGCACAGATGAGTGACTGAAACTTGAAACTTCCTAGATTATGGAGTTATACACCATGTATTTGTCAGCCACCCAAGAGTGTTACTTTGCACTAATTAAGGTGCAATTGTATATAACTGTTCTGTGCATGTGCAAATCTAGATTAAGGGTAATGTGACTAAGACCTCCTGAGAGAAGAAAACCTATTTTGCTGTCAGTGCATTTGGTTAATGTCAGATTAGCTGATTTGCACAAGAGTCTAAAGATAACTAGATATTGGTTGTTGAAGGGTCAGTGAACTCAATTACAGAAATAGTTGAGGGTCAGAAACTGTGCACAAGGTTAAAAGATATGTAGAAGTAATAGTTATATAGAGCATGTTAATGCCACCTTGTCTTAGATGTATAAAGTGCTTGCTTTTTCTATTTAATGTGTTCTTTGTCAGTCTATGATCAGTCAATACAGAATGCTAGTAATTTTAAATGCTTCTATTAAAGTACATAAAATGAAGTATCAATCTCACGTTATAAGTCATACAGTCTTTGATCTGTTAACATTATGCTATTACATTTCAGCGAAAGATTTTGACAGTGAAGGCGAATACCTTGAGATTACTGGCATTACCCGGGACCAGGCTGGCAACTATGAATGTCTCGCAAACAACGATGTATCATCTCCAGATACGCGAACAGTCCACATTACAGTCAATTGTAAGTTGCCTTTTACATTATGCAGCCAATTTAGAAAGTCAAATATTTAGATGTTTGTACTAAAAGTAGAAAATGTTGTTGAACACTAAAGTTAAAAATTAGGTGGATGCAGGAACAAACTCTGATGGAGTGTTTCACCTAAATCATTAACCAGTCTTTTCTTTCAGATATGCACTGCCCTGCTGTGTGCACTTATCAACTTCTGTATATCTTTTAGAAAGACATTTTCTATTTTTAATTCAGCTATTTGGAACTTTTTTAACAAAGAACAAAGAACAGTACAGCAAAGAAACATGCCCTTTGGACAACCAAGACTACGCTGACAGATGATGCCTTTTATAAACTAAGAACCTTTTGTTTCAATGTGGTTCATATCCCTCTATTCCCTACCTATTCATATATCCGTCAAGATGCCTCTTAAATGTTGCTATTTTATACACCTCCCCTGGCGGTGCATTCCAGGCACTTACCTCCCTCTGTGTAAAACCCTTGTCTCTCACGTCTCCTTTACACTTACCCCTTTTACCTTAAACCTATGCTCCCTAGTAATTGACATTTCAATCCTGGGTAAAAGCCTCTGACTATCCATTCTATCTAAACATAGATATTTTGAATCAGTACTTTCAGGTATGTGTAACACACTTCTGGAGATGGAGCTTGAACTCAGGCCTTCTGGCTCAGAAGCAGGGACACTACCACAAGAGGTCCTACTAACTAATCAAAATACTGGATTCTTGAAACCCTTAACCTGTGACAAATATCTATTCATTTGCAATGTTGTATGCAAATGATAACTTCCTAACAACTGCCCTCTTCCTAACGTCTCTCCTGAGAGATGCCCTCAGATGGTGTTCTGTGACAAGTCCTGACCTTGGCAGGTGCAAAGGCCTTACTGAAGCACTCTCATTTTTATGTTAATGTAAAATTAGCCATTGTTGCACCAGGCAAATAAGATAATTATGTTGAGGTCCTTTTCTATCTCTTGTTCTCTCAGAGGTTTTAAATGCTTACATCGTTAGAAGGACTGATTATATTTTCCAAGAATTATTCAAAATCCTTTTGTGATTGATGCTACGATAGTGCAGTTCAGTAGACTTTGAACCAGCCCGTGTTAACAGATGGCTATCCACTGTGTCTTCCATTTTTAAGACGTAATGATAAGGTTTCTTTCAGGCCACATATTTTAGAGTAGAGCTGTTCTCTTTTTTTGCCCCTAAAAATCTGTGAGATAAATACAGCACAGCTATGACCAAACTAATAACTTCTAACCTTGTAACTCTTGGCCAACGGGAGCAGCAGTCCTACATCCCCACAACAATCTGACCTTAATTTGTGTCTCTTAGGTCCACAGATTATCTAGTCCTCAGACCATTCTTCCGGCCAATCACCCTTGCAGCCATGGCTCTGACTGATAAACTATGACCTGTATTTTTTGACCAAAGATCCTGAACGCACAGTCTTCAAGTCAGCTTCCTGGCCAATCAGTATTGTAGCTTTGGCTTCAGTTTATGACTAAGCTAGAGCTGCTGGAGCTCAAAGTGCCAATATATGTTAGCTATAACTCCAGTTCGGTTCACATATTCTACCTTAAAGCCACATCTCATTATTTGGCAGTTGCAGAGGTACCAACTTTAAAATTTCCTTAACTCTATCTTGCAAAATTCATGAATAATTGCTATAAGACATATAAATTAAACTTTTTTAAAATCACTTGGTTTATGTTCAGAACAATTTGCTCTATACCTTATTAATGACACAAATGTGCCAATTAGATAAAGTTTTAACAGGAGAGAGAAAGAGAAGTGCTGGGCAATCCATAACAAGGAAGCATTAACTTAATGCTACAGTTGGTTCATTCAGGAGTGAAATCAGGAAATATTGTTTTGACATCAAGGATAATGGAGATCTGGAATACACTGCTACAGAAGGCCATGACTGTGGTTCAATTGAGACCAAGACTCATGAACTGCTTTTTATTGGTAGCTTATTAAGTCCTGTGAACCTAAGGTGAATAAATGGAGTTGAAGTGTAAATTAGCCATGATCTATCTGAATGACTGACAGGTATAAGGGACTGATAGACTTTCTCTTGTTTCAGTGTTTCTAGACCACCTTTTCTCTCCATACAATCATAATGTGGATGTGCTCATGTTGTACGGGGGGTGGACAAAGTCAGAAGTCACACAACACCAGGTTATAGTCCAACAGGTTTATTTGACATCATAAGCTTTCAAAGTGCAGCCCTTCATAAAGTGAAGTCAGAGAAAAGAGCACACAGATACAGAATTTACAGGCAGAGAGATCAAGGGCAGAGCAATCAAAAGATGATACAAATGGTGTCAGCAGAGTGTCGAATAATAAGTCTCTGCAGGTGATCAAAAGTGTCAGGCAATGTGAGTGAAGTGTCAACAGCTGAATAACAAGGGGACAGATGTCCTATAATCCAATTAAATGAGGCAGAGAGATAATTACAAAAAATTACAAAAAAAAATTGTCTCCAGCACCACCTTAATTTTAATTTTTTGTAATTATCTCTCTGCCTCATGCCTCATTTAATTGGATTATAAGTCATCCCTTTGCTTGTTATTAAACTGTTGACACTTTACTCACACCACTTGTATCATCTTTTGATCTCTCTGCCTACAAATTCTGTGCATGTATGTCTTCACTCTTACTTCATCTGACTAAGGGACTGTGCTGCAAAAGCTTGTGATTTCAAATAAACCTGTTGGACTATAACCTGGTGTTGTGTGACTTCTGACCATATCATCATAGAACCCCTACAGCGTGGAAGCAAGCCATTCGGCCCATTTAATCCACACTGCCCTCTGAAGAGCATTGCACCCAGACCCACCCCCTATCCTATCCTATCCTGTCCCTGTAACCCCTCATTACCCATGGCTAACCCGCCTAACCTCCACACCCCTAGACAATATGGGCAATTTGGCATAGCCAATCAACCTAACCTGCACAACTTTGGATGATGGGAGGAAACCAGAGCACACAGCAGAAACCCACATAAACACAGGGAAAACATGCAAACTCCACACAGACAGTCACCCAGGTCAAATCGAACCCAGGTTCCTGGCATTATGAGGCAGCAGTGCTAATCACTATGCCACCATTCCACCCTATATTGCTTCCTATTATAACCTCACTTCCCCTCACTTCCTCTTTCTGTCTTTCTTCCAAATTTCCCTCCTTGTGCAAGAGAGAGAGAGAATCAGTTTCCTCTGTAATATTACAGATCAGCTCACTTTCTTTTCTAATAAGATATTATATTCTTGCAGATTTACTATTCTGATTGTCAGCTTGCATTTGGAACAATTCCAAATTTATATGTTCTGTGAAAATCCTGTGTACATCCCTGCGAGTACTATTTATTTATGCTCCGGGCAATCCTTGAGGCTGAGGCAGAGACACTGGGATGCTAGTACTCAGCATATCTAAGTTTTCCCACCTTGCTCATCTCCAGATCTGCCTTCAGGCAAATCTGAAAGGATAACCTACACATGAGAAAAATCAAAGTGAATGTGAAATCTCAGACAAATACTCTTATGTTATTTTGCTTCAGACTGAAGTCATGTTAATTTTTTTGCAATATGTTTGAAACTTCCCACCCAGATAGCACAGCAACAGTTGTTTGAGATAACTTGATTAGAAAACAGGTTCCTCAGATAGAGCTGTGATGAAAATGGTCAATGATGTCATTGATACTTCTAATAATTAGTTCTTCCTGACCAATAGCCTTCTAATTGATGTTCACTTTGGATCTTGCTGAGATCACTCAGCTCTCAATCTCATTACAGCGTTGGTCCTATCATGGACAAAACAGCTAAATTACAGAGATGAGAAAACAGTGTATGCCTTTGACATCAAGGCAATATTGAACTGAGTATGGCATCAAGGAGCCCTTGAAAAACTAAAGTCAGTGGGAATCGGAAAATTCTCCAATGTTCAGAGACATACCTAACACAAGCAAAGAAGCTTCTGATTCTTGGAGGCCAATCATCTCAATTCTAGACTTTAAGGCCTGGCTTGTGTTCTTCACCCAAACACTTCTGCTTTATCACTATCAATAACATCCTTCCATTGTAAAGTCAGAATGGGAGATGTTCACAGATGATTATTCAGTGTTCAGTCCACTTGTAAGTTAAAGTCGTAGAGTTGAAGAGCATAGAAACAGACCCTTCGGTCCAACTCGTCCATGGTGTCCAGATATCCTAAACTCATCTGGTCTCATTTGCCAGCATTTGGCCCATATCGCCGATATCCCTCCCTATTTGTGTACCCATCCAGATGCTTTTTAAATGTTGTAATTGTACCTACCTCCACCACTTCTCCTGGCAGCTCATTCCATGCACACACCACTTTCTGCGTGAAAAGGTTGCCCCTTACGTCTCTGTTAAATCTTTCCACTCTCACCTTAAACCTATGCCGTCTGGTTTTGGACTCCCTTACCCTGGAAAAAAGACCTCGGCCATTCGCCCTATTCACACCCCTCATGATTTTATAAACTTCTATAAGGTCAACCCTCAGCCTCCATGCTCCAGAGAAAAAAGCCCCAGCCTATTCCCTATAGCTCAAACCCTCCAATCCCAGAAACATGACTGTAAATCTTTTCTGAACCCTTTTAAGTTTAACATCTCTCCTATAGCAGGGAGACCTGAATTGAACACTGTTCTAAAAGTGGTCTCACCAATATCTTGTACAGTGTCAACATGACATCCCAACACCTATACTCAATGCACTGACCAATAAAGGCAAGCGTGCCAAATGCCGCATTCACCACCCTGTCTACCGGCGACTCCACTTTCAAGGTCTCTTTGTTCGGCAAATGCCCCAGGACCATATCATTAAGTGTGTAAGTTTGCCCTGGTTTGCCTTACAAACATGCAGCACGTCACGTTTGTCTAAATTAAACTGCATCTGCCACTCCTTAGCCCATTGGCCCATCTGACTATGGTCCCGTTGTACTAGGAGGTAACCTTCTTCACTGTC